GTGCTAATGTCCCTCTTATTCCTGATTTTAGTAGTCCTTTTTTTCTTGGTTATTCTACCTGAAGGTTTGTCAATATTGTTGGACTGTCAAAGAACCAACTTGTTTGTGTTAATTTTTTCTATAGGTGTGTTGGGGTATGCCTTCAGCACTGAGTCAGGCAATTTATAACTCTGCCTTTGATTTTGCTTCTTGTTTGTGTAGTGTCAAGGTCAGCAAGAGGTGAGAGCTTAGGGTTTCCTGGGGTCTTACTGAGCATGTGCATACCTCTATGTGTCTGTGGCTTTTCAAAGCCTAATGGACATCACATTTTCCAGCTTCTCCTTTAAGATTTTTGGTTAATCTGTTGTTTGCTCAGACTGTTATTTCTCACTTCAGGCACTGTAAAGGTAAACACTTGTCTATAATTGTTTCTGACAAATGCTTTTGGCCCTCTCCTCCCCCTAAGGCTTTTTGCTCTGGGCAAGCTCTGTGTTTGCCTATATGTGGGGTCTTGCGGGGAACCACCTGAGGGGTCAGTTAATTACAGTTCCTTGGGAAGGAGGCTTTGAAAGAGCTCCAGCTTTATTCTGTTTTCTCTGGTGGCTGCTCTGAGAACACAAGCTTATTTTTCAAGATACTGTGTAGCTAAAGAGCATGTAGTAGGACTAGGGCAAGTTAAAACACCACAGAGCTCACTGGTCTTACCAAGATTCACCCATTTTCCTTCAATAAGTGCTCCCCAGGTAAGTGCTCACCTTTGATTAATTTCCAGAGTTCTGAAAAAGGTGATGCTGAGATTTTTGGACAGCTTCTTTATTGCTTTTACGGAGATACGAGTTTTTGGAGGTCTTCACCATTTTTGCTAACATCATCCTCTTCATATTTTCCTGATGAGAACTTTTTCTTTGACAGTTACTCGAAAGCAAGATATTATTTTTTTGGAATGATAGCTAAACTAATTTTACCTGCTAGAGTGAAAGACCTTTTTCATTTATCAAATAAATTTCAATACAGAGTTTGTATGGCAAGTCCTCTTTGTTCTATCTCTATCCCAGAGTCTAGTTCAGAGAAGACTTGTAGAATAATATAGTTCTCCATATGTATAAGTAATGGACATGCAATAATATAAAGGCAATCGTAGTGTTTTGTCCCTAGATTCTGTTATTCTCTAGCATGTATTTGAGATTCATCCATATTAGAGCATATATTGGTAGTTCATTCCTTTTTAATGCGGAATACTATTTTATTATGGATATATGACACTTTGCTTATGTATTCATTAATTGGTGAACACAAGGATTGATTTTAGTTTGTTATTATGAATAATGCTGTTATGAACATCTGTGTACACATTTTTGTGTGTATATATGTTTTCATTTCTTTCTGGTATATATCTAAGAATGAAATTGTATTTTTGGTAAATATATATTTAACCTTTTTTTTTCTTTATTGATTAAGGTATTACATATGTGTCCTTATCTCCCCATTGTCCCCCCAACCCCCACAATTTTAAAAAAAAATATTTATTTTTTACAGAGAGGAAGGGAGAGGGATAGAGAGTTAGAAACATTGATGAGAGAGAAACATCAATCAGCTGCCTCCTGCACACCCCCTACCGGGGATGTGCCCGCAACCAAGGTACATGCCCTTGACCGGAATCGAACCTGGGACCCTTGAGTCCGCAGGCCAATGCTCTATCCACTGAGCCAACCGTTTAGGGCATAACAAAAATGGTAACATAAACAGCCGTGGGCAAACTACGGCCGCGGGCCGAATCCAGCCCGTTTGAAATGAATAAAACTAAAAAAAAAAAAAAAAAAGACCGTACCCTTTTATGTAATGATGTTTACTTTGAATTTATATTAGTTCACACAAACACTCCATCCATGCTTTTGTTCCGGCCCTCTGATCCAGTTTAAGAACCCATTGTGGCCCTCGAGTCAAAAAGTTTCCCCATCCCTGTACTAGAGCCACTGTTATTTTTCCACATGATTTATTTGGGAGTGTCTTCCCTTTCAGTACATAAAGGGCATATTATTTTTTCATAACTACACTTTAGTTCATGTCCGGAAGTACCATAACATTTTTTGTTGTTGTTAATCCTCACCTGAGAATATTTTTTCCATTGATTTTTTAAAAATAAATCTTCATTGTTGAGAGTATTACATATGTCTCTTTTTTCCCCCTCATTGCCCGCCCCCCCAAGCCTTCACCACCCACCGTCTCTGTCCTTGAGTTATGCATATATGCATATGAGTTCATTGGTTGATCTCTTCCCCGCCCCCCCTACACTCTCTTCTGCCTTCCCTCTGTGGTTTGACAGTCTGTTTGACATTTCTGTGTCTCTGGGTCTATTTTTGTTCATCATTTTATGTTGGTCATTAGATTCCACATATGAGTGAGATCATGTAATACTTACCTTTCTCTGACGGGCTTATTTCGCTTAGCATAATGCTCTCTAGGTCCATTCATGCTGTTGCAAATGGTAAGAGTTCTTTTTTTTTTTTTACAACTGCAAGAGAGAGTGAAAGGGAGGGAGGGAGGGGAGAGAAAGAGAAAAGGGGGGTGGAGAGAGAGAGAGAGAGAGAGAAAAAAGAGAAAGAGAGAAATACTGATGTGAGAGAGACACTTTGATTGCTTCCTTCATGCTCCCTGACGGGCCTGGGATTGAACCTGCAACTCTGTTGTTTGGGCTGACGCTGTAACCACTGAGATACACCAGCCAGGGCTTCATTTAACTTTTTAATAAACTGCCCAATTGTTTTCCTGAAGCATTTTGTATTCCCTCCAATAATATATGAGGGTTCCAATTTCTACTCATCCCCAACACCAGTTATTGTCTAATTTTTTTTATTGTCTGATTTTTTGATGATAGTCATCTTAGTGGATGTGTATCTGTTTTCATGTATTGTAACTGAAATCTGAATTCTGCCTGCAGCAATGAAAGCCAAACTTGTGAGACAGGTGCTGGCATCTTGAGAAGATGGGGGACTCTCCCCAGTCCTCAAAAACCCATCTTAAGATATTATTGCAGGCAGAGGTTTTTAAAAGGAGGGAGAAGGAAAGCAGAACAGAGATCAGGGGGAGGGGCTGTAGATATGCAGGCAGTGTCCTTGCTGGTCCTGATATGGATTTTTAACTCAGCATCCTTGAGTTGGCCATCTGTTTTGTTTTTTTTTTGTCAGTGAATTCCTGTGTCTGGGCAGTTGGCATTAACCAGAGCCTTGAAGGTCAGGCTGCTCCTTAGGTTCACACAGGAACTGAAACTGCTGGATTGTGAAGTATACTAAAAAAAAACTTTTAACATGTAAGCTCTAGTTTTGAGAAAAATCAGGTTAGAGTAACAAGCTGGGTTTAACATTTGCTAAGATTAATATGGGTAGTTTTCTACAAGTATAGCTTATTCATTTCCTGTTACAGTTTCCTAACAACTAATGATATTGACCATTTTATTATGTTCTTATTAGCCATTTATATTTCTTCTTTGATGAAATATCTATTCAAATTTTGTGCCCATTTTTTAAATTGGGTTATTTGTCTTACAACTGAGTTGTAAGAGTGCTTTATATATTCTTAATACAAGTTCCTTATCAGGTATATTATTTGGAAATATTTTCTCCCAATCTGTAGCTTGTATTTTCATGTTATTAATGGTGTCTTCTGAAGGAGAAAATTTTTTTAATTTTGATGAAGTCCAATTTATTAATTTTTTTCTTTTATACATGGGGTCACAAAGAATTTCTTCTATTCTTCTAAGATTTCTTTTATACTTTATTGCTTACATTTAGGTGTATGCCATTTTGAGTTAATTTTTGTGTATGGTATGAATTATGAGTCTAAGGTCTTTTCTTGCATGCTTAATTTAATTGTTCCACTATTATTTGTGAGAAAACTACTCTTCCTTCATTGAATTGCCTTGGCACCTTTGTAAAAAATCAGTTGACCAGAATATACTAGCTTATTTTTGGACCTTTTATTCTGTTCCTCTGATCTGTATGGGTATCCTTGTGCCAGTGCCACACTGCATTGATTTTTGTAGCTTTGTAGTAAGTTTGAGATGTGAAACACATGTCCTCCTACTTTGTTCTTTTTCTAATTTTTTTGGCCATGTAGGGTTCTTTTTATTTCCATTTGAATTTTAGGATTAGCTTATAAATTTCTGTAAAAGGCTTGCTGTGAGTTTGGTAGGGATTGCATTGAATTTATAGATCAATTTGGAATTGCCATCAAAACATTGAGTATTCTGACCCATTACTGTGGAGTGTACTATCTCACCGTTTATTTAGGTTTGTCTGTAATTTCTCAGCATATTTTGTAGTCTTCAGTATATAGATCTTATTTCTTTACTTTAAAATATTTTTAAAATTTATTTCAGAGAGGAAGGGAGAGGGAGAGTTAGAAACATCAATGATGAGAGAGAATCATTGATCAACTGCCTCCTGCACGCCCCTTCCGGGGATCGAGCCCGAAACCCTGGCATGTGCTGTGACCAGAAATCAAACTGTGACCTCCTGGTTCATAGGTCGACGCTTAACCACTGAGCCCTACCCACGGGAGAGGGGGGAGGGTGTTTAGATCTTGTTTCTTAAATTTATTCCTAAATATCTTGTTCTTTTTGGTGCTATTGTGAATGAAATTATTTAATTTTCAGGTTGTTACTATAATATAGAGATATAATTGATTTTGTATATTGATTTTTTCTGTCATCTTGCCTAACTCCTTGATGAGTTCTAGTAAGTTTTTTAATGTAGATTCCTTAGGATTTTAACCAATTTTTATACTTTTTTGGGTGTATAGGACCTGTTCAATTTGCTCTATACCAGAGTCCTATCCCTTTACTAGTATTTATTTTAAAGAATGTATTAATCTTTTCTATTAATTACTCTTCTATTTATAATTGTTCATGGGTTGCTTTTTTAAATCTGTGTGAATTGCTTTCCTTAGAAAGCAGTGAAATTAAAGATCTGAAATTGCTTTATGTAATTATATAAACATGATAATTTGGTCCTTTCTATTTTTAGGTTCCTCTCAACAAAATTGACTATGAATATAGTGAACTGATATTATACCAGAATCAAGTGATGCGAGAAGCAGATCTATTTCAGGAATCTTTAGAACATATAGAAACATATGAGAAACAAATATGTGATAAACTTTCAGTGGAAGAAATTAAAGGTTAGTTGACCTGCCTTTTCTTTTTAATTAAAGAAAAGAACTAAAACTATATTTTATTCTGTCTTAACACTTAAATAAGACTTATGTTTTAGGTAATATTCTATACACTTATTATGATGTAGTTGTTATATTCACTTTAGAGTTTGGTGACTGAGGAACAGAGAGTTAAGTGACTTGCCCGAAGTCACACAGCTAGGTAAGCTGGGTACAGTGCTGTATATGAGGCCAAGAAGTTTGACTTCAGATTTCATTTTCTTAAGCAGAACATTATACTACCTTTATATTTTACCCCTCCATATCTGTATGTCTATATTTTTATTTGTATCTATTTATGTATAGTAAAATATAATGAGAATAATAATTGATACTGGGATTATCAGGAAGTCAAGTATCATTATGGGCTAATTATGAAGGCAGGGTCCTGATAGTTTGTTAAAAACGTTCATCAAAGCGTTAGCCACATTTTTTCTTAACAAAGCTTTGTTCATCAATTACTCATTTCATTAATACTGTATTAAATAGAATGTCCAACTAAAATCATTAGTTTAAAATTAAAGTTAGTATAGTTGTAGGACTTTTAAAACTTAATAAAAGCTAACATTTATTTACTTTTCCTGTGTTTTAGGGCATGGTAATTGCTTAAACTGCTTTATTTCACTTACATTTTTAGCACCTCTAACATGGGTACTATTTACTATCTCCATTTTATAGCTGAGGAAACTAAGGTTAAGAGATATTAAGGAGTTGTCCAGAGTCACCCCACCTTTTAGGTTCTAGAGTTAATTTCTTTTCTTTCTTTCCTTTTTTTTTGGTTAATCCTCACTCGGTATTTTTCCATTAATTTTTAGGGAGAGTGGGAGAGAGAGGGAAAGACAGAGAGAAACATCGATGTGAAAGAAACACATCGATTGGTTGCCTCCTGCTTGCACCCTGACCAGGGCCTAGGCCAGGGAGGAGCCTGCAACCAAGGTATGTGCCCTTGACCAGAATCGAACTCAGGATCCTTTGGTCTGCAGGCCTACACTCTATCCACTGAGCTAAACTGGCTAGGGAGGTAGAGTTAATTTCTAAGCACATCTTTTTGGCTTCAGAGCCCTTATTCTAAAATTTTTTTTTTAAGACTTTATTTTTTAGAATAGTTTTAGTTTCACAGCAAAATCAAGTTGAAGGTACAGAGATTTCCCATATACTGTATTTCCCTACTCATGTATAGTCTCCTCCACTATCAATATCCCCCTCCAGAGTGGTATATTTATTATAATTTTTTTAAAGTACATTTTAACTTTAAAAAATATTTTTATTGATTTCAGAGAGGATGGGAGAGGGAGCGAGAGGAGAGATAGAAACATCAATGGTGAGAGAAAATCACTGATTGGCTGGCTCCTGCACGTCCCCTACTGGGGTTTGAGCCCACAACCTAGACATGTGCCCCTGACCAGAATTGAACCCAGGATCCTTCAGTCTGTAGGCTGATGCTCTATTCACTGAGTCAAACCAGCTAGAGCTATGTATTACAATTAATGAACCTACATTAACACATCATTACCACCTGAAGTCTATAAAGTTTACATTTCTGTTAGTTCTTGGTGTTGCACACTCTCTTGGTTTTGACAAATGTATAATAATATGCAGCCACCATTATAGTATCATATGGAGTACTAGTTTCATCGCCCTAAAAATCCTCTGTGCTCTCCCTATTCATTTCCCCTTGCCCCCACCCCTGGCAACCACTGATCCTTTTACTGTCTCCATAGTTATGCCTTTTCCAGAATGTCATGTATTTGGAATTATGGAGTATGTAGCCTTTTGAGATTGACTTTTCTCACTTAGTAATATGCATTTAAGTTTTCTTCATGTCTTTTCACGAGCCCTTACTTTTAACTGCTATACTTGACACTTGTTAATATATAGCAACTGACTGACTTAGTTTTTATTGTAAATAGTACTAATATCAATATTGACTACAATGCTATTTTTCAAACTATTGGTAAAATGTGGATAAATAATATTCTGGTTTCTTTCTTATTCTATTACCTGTAATTGATGGGAGAAAATAAAAGGCAATTATTTTTTTATTTTATTTTTTTTTTAAAGAGAGGGTAGATTTTTTATTTTTTTATTTTTTTTTAAAATATATTTTATTGATTTTTTACAGAGAGGAAGGAAGAGAGATAGAGAGTTAGAAACATCGATCAGCTGCCTCCTGCACATCTCCCACTGGGGATGTGCCTGCAACCAAGGTACATGCCCTTGACCGGAATTGAACCCAGGACCCTCCAGTCCGCAGGCCGACGCTCTATCCACTGAGCCAAACCGGTTTCGGCGAAAGGCAATTATTTTTATGTTCTGATGTATTGCTATTTCCTGATTAAATCTCAACTCTTAGGTTGCTTTTTCTGTTTCTCTGTCTTTGTCTTATAGCATTACTAGGGAATGCAGGGATTAAAAAGTAGATATGCTATAGTATGGTCAATTCTGGTTTAAAAAATCTGCAAATTGCAACATATATTGGTAATGTGGGTCATTTGGGGGTCATCAATTTGAATATAAAGCCGATATTCTGTATTGCTTATAGAGACAGGATATGTTATTTTTATTTTTTCAGTGAAGTTTGCAGGCCCAGAGATTTTGATATTTATACATTGTGTCTTTTGTATCCATTAGTATATTAAGATAATTTTAAGAACTGTTAAAGTTAGAGATTTTTATTTTAAAAAAAATGCAAGTGTACTTATTTGTCCCATATAATCCTATAGTAATAACCTTTACCGTATAGTAGTAGCAGATAATAAAATGTTTGGACTTGAAGAATAGTGTCAACAGGGTAAAAATTAGACTGACCAGAAGTTAATTCTGGAGGAATGGGGCATGTTTATAGTTTTAAGTAGCAAATGTTTACATGTAATCACTTTGTGCCAGGCATTGTGCTAAACCATTTTAAGTAAATTATTTCCTTTGATTATCACAAAGTGGATTAAGGTAGTTGATATTTTAGAGGCAAGGAAATGGACATTGGAAGTTTGTAACTTGTTCAGAGCTAGAAATTGGTAACATTAGTAATTACATCTAGTTAGTTTTACTATACCCTCTTGGTTTTGACAAATGTATAATAACATGCAGCTTGAATAATATATATCATATATAAATAGTAAAATAATAGTATATAATAACCACTGTTATATGCTGCCTTCTCTAAGATGATGAAAGCTGAAATAGTATGACTTAAAGACATTTCAGAGGATTATTTGTTTGAAGTGGATTATTTGGGGAATGGGAAATTTTAGGGATGGGAAGTTGAGATATTTCTTTTTGAGAATCTTCCGTTTATCTTAGACTAGGTGTGCTTTCTATTATGTTTGAAAAGTTTAGATCTTCATTCCCCATGCCCCCTTTCAACTTGTGTGGCTTCTTAAAAGCCACATAAAAATTGAACCTTGTAGGTGTCTGACATGTGAACATGGTTTGTGTGGTTTCTTGCTGTGAAGTGGGGTTTAGTGTTACTTTTTACAAGTTGATTCAAATTTTAGTGACCTGGAAAGGAAATTAAGAGGATTGAATGAAGAATTGCTTAATATATGAACGTATCAGGAAAAGTACATTTAAATTGTGCAGTAGGAAGATAGGGATATTTCATTAGAATTCATTTACAATCCTATCTAATAAAAGAGTAATATGCAAATTAACCATCACATCCTCACTCCGTCACAAAGATGGCGGCGGCCACGGAACTGGAGCAAGCAGGAGGCTTGGGTTGCCCCAGTGATGGAGGAAGTCAAACTTCCCGCCTGCCCTTGCCGGACCTGAGCTCCGCTCAAGGCTACAAAGTTTCAATTATAGAAGATAAATAAATCCCAGATACCTGCTTCCAGCCTGCATGGCCTCCTCTCAAGGAGGGGCTGGGGGTGTGGCCAGCCTGAAAACAGCCCTCAGCCCCTCACCCAGGCTGGCTAGGCACCCCAGTGGGGACCCCCACCCTGAAGGGGGTGTGGCCAGCCTGAAAATGGCCTCAGCCCCTCACCCAGGCTGGCCAGGGACCCCAGCGGGACTCCCACCCTGATCCGGGACATCCTACAGGGCAAACCAGCTGGCCCGCACCTGTGCACCAGGCCTCTATCCTATATAATAAAAGGGTAATATGCAAATTGACCCTAACGACTGGGAATGACTGGTCACTATGACACACACTGACCACCAGGGGGCAGACACTCAATGCAGGAGATGCCCCCTGGTGGTCAGTGTGCTCCCACAAGGGGAGCTCTGCTCAGCCACAAGCCAGGCTGACAACTGCCAGCACAGCGGTGGTGGCGGGAGCCGCTCCCACCTCCTCAGCAGTGCTAAGGATGTCTGACTGCAGCTTAGGCTTGCTCCCTGCTGGCAAGTGGACATCCCCCAAGGGCTCCCGGGCTGCCAGAGGGATGTCTGACTTCCAGCTTAGGCCTGTTCCTCCGGGGAGCGGGCCTAAGCCAGCAGGTGGACATTCCCCGAGGGGTCCCAGACTGCAAGAGGGCACAGGACGGGCTGAGGGGACCCCCCCACCAAGTGTACAAATTTTTGTGCACCGGGCCTCTAGTCCTATCTAATAAAAGACAAAAAGGGTAATTAACCGTACCTCTGCTACGCTTCCCATTGGCTAATCAGGGCGATATGCAAATTAACTGCCAACAAAGATGGCGGCCGGCAGCCACGCAGCTGAAGCGAGCAGGAGGCTTGCTTGCTCCAGTGATGGAGGAAGCCAAGGTTCCCCGCCTGCCGCGGCTGGGCTCTGAGCCCGGAAGCAACAAAGTTTCAATTATAGAAGCTAAACAAACCCCAGATACCTGCTTTCAGCCGACCGCGGCCTCAGAGCTGGGAGCACCAGTGACGGCAACAATGTTTCAATTATAGAAGGTAAATAAATCTCAGAATAAAAAAAAGAAAGAAAAAAAGGAGAGGCTGGGAGCTTCCGTCGCTGGCCAGCCTGAAAACGGCCCTCAGCCCCTCACCCAGACTGACCAGGCACCCCAGTGGGGACCCCCACCCTAAAGGGGGTGTGGCCAGCCTGAAAACAGCCCTCAGCCCCTCATCCAGGCTGGCCAGGCACCCCAGTAGGGACCCCCACCCTGAAGGGGGTGTGACCAGCTGCAAACAGCCATCAGCCCCTCACCCAGACTAGCCAGGCACCCCAGTGGGACCCCCAACCTGATCCGGGACACCCTTCAGGGCAAACCAGCCGGCCCCCACCCGTGCACCAGGCCTCTATCCTATATAGTAAAAGGGTAATATGCAAACTGACCCTAACAGCAGAAAGACTGGGAATGACTGGTCACTATGACGCACACTGACCACCAGGGGGCAGACGCTCAATGAAGGTGCTGCCCTTTGGTGGTCTGTGCGCTCCCACATGGAGGAGCTCTGCTCAGCCACAAGCCAGGCTGATGGCTGCCAGTACAGCAGTGGTGGTGGGAGCCTCTCCTGCCTCCTGAGCAGCGCTAGGGATGTCTGACTGCAGCTTAGGTCTGCTTCCCGCTGGCAAATGGACATCCCCCAAGTGCTGCCGGGCTGCCAGAGGGATGTCTGATTGCCATCTTAGGCCCAATCCCCCAGGGAGCAGGCCTAAGCCAGCAGATGGTCATCCCCCGTGGGGTCCCAGACTGCGAGAGGGCACAGGCCGGGCTGAGGGACCCCCCACCCCCGAGTGCACAAATTTTTGTGCACCGAGCCTCTAGTCTATATATATAAAAGCCTAAGCGACCATTACAACCGGTCAACCAGTTGCTATGACGTGCACTGATCACCAGGGGGCAGATGCTCAATGCAGGAGCTGCCCCCTGGTGGTCAGTGTGCTCCCACCGCCGCCCTCCTGTGGCCCCTCCCCCCCCACCAGTCAACCTCCTGCGGTCCTTCCTCCACCCCTATTGGCCAACCTCCTACGGTCCCTCCCCCCTGCCGGCCAGCCCCCCCAATAGGCCCCAATTGGGGGACTGGCCAGCCAACATCCCGGGGTCCCTGCCCCCAGTTAACTGGCCCCCTGATAGGCCTTGATCACCGGCCAGGCTGAGAGACCCCTACCCATTAACGAATTCGTGCACCAGGCCTCTAGTCTTATGAAGGGTATATAAAATACGCATAATGCAGACTTTTACTAACAAATTAATATTCTACATGTATATTTGGGATATTGTAGGGAGCCAAAAATGAATCTATATATATAAAAGGCTAAGTGACCGACCATACATACGTCCAACCAACCGACTGGCCGGTACATATAACACGCACTGGCAGTCTGACCGACTGGCCGGTACATATGACGTGCGCTGGCAACCTATATATATAAAAGCCTAAGCGACTGGACGACCTGACAACCGGCTGGTAGCTGTGACATGCACTGACCACCAGGGACAGACACTCAACATAGGAGCTGCCCCCTGGTGGTCAGTGCGCTCCCATAGCCAACCTCCCGTGACCGGCCAACCTCCCGTGGTCCCTCCCCCTGGCTGGCCAATCTCCCATGGCCCATCCTCCCAGCTGGCCAACCTTCTGTGGCCCCTCTCCCGGGCAACTTCCTGTGGCCCCTCTCCTGGCCAACCTCCCGTGGCCATGATCGGCCCCGATTGCAGGCCAGCCTGAGGCACCCCACCCATGCATGAATTCGTGCACTGGGCCTCTAGTGTTAGTTTAGTAGAATGTGTAAATGAAGGTTCGTTACTGAAGGCAAGCTGTAAATTAATCTATGTTTAGTTATATAAACTGCAATCTGTGCCAGAGGGAGGCACATACAGTCCTGTCTTCCATAAATATCTACTATACTAATAATGTTTAGTGAAATCTCTGGGATCAGACAGGTATTTAATGTTTAAGTTAAATGATTGTGACTTTAAACTTAATTTTAGGGGAAATGCTGTTGAAATTGGGAAGATTAAAAGAAGCCAGTGAAGTATTCAAAAATCTGATTGATCGGAATGCGGAAAATTGGTGTTATTATGAAGGCTTGGAAAAAGCTCTGCAACTTAGTATGTACTGATTTTTCTTTTCTACCTTCTTTTATTTTTTATTTTATTTTTTTATTTTTATTTTTAAATATATTTTATTGATTTTTTTTTTATATATACTTTATTGACTTTTTACAGAGAGGAAGGGAGAGAGATAGAGAGTTAGAAACATCGATGAGAGAAACATCGATCAGCTGCCTCCTGCACATCTCCTACTGGGGATGTGCCCGCAACCAAGGTACATGCCCTTGACCGGGATCGAACCCGGGACCTTTCAGTCCGCAGGCCGACGCTCTATCCACTGAGCCAAACCGGTTAGGGCTCTACCTTCTTTTAACTATTGTTTGAAGTACGTATAATAAAATGTAAAATTGTAATAATATTTGAAGACATATATTTCTTGCCCTAGAATTCATTTTGCCATGTAGGAAAATTATTGGAGTGAAAATGAATTAAAATATTTATACTTACGTGATAAATGTGTACAGGTACAGGTAATCATAATGTTACCTATTTATACTAGAGAGATGGGAAAGATAATGAAATGAGTGTTCTCTTTCTGGAAAGTGTCATAATTATTTAATATTTTTAAAGAATTAGAGGTCTGCCCTGGCTGGTTTGGCTCAGTGGATAGAGCGTTGGCCTGAGGACTGAAGGGTCCCAGGTTCGATTCTTGTCAAGGGCACATGCCCGGGTTGCGGACTTGATCCCCAGTAGGGGGCTTGCAGGAGGCAGCCAATCAATGATTCTCTCTCGTCATTGATGTTTCTGTCTTTCTCCCCCTCTCCCTTCCTCTCTGTCTGAAATCAATAAAAATATATTAAAAAAAAAAGAATTAGAGGTCTGTTATCCTCAATCTCTAAATAAGAATTGGGATAAAGAAATTTTGATGAGAGTATATGGTATATAACATTGGCATGAAAATTGTTCTCTGAATTTCAGACTAGGTTAATTTGTGTGGAGTAAAATGTTATACATCTTTTTAAATTATATAACCTTGACCCTTTTCAGAAATGTAGAGTCATAGTTCAAATTTTCCCTAATATTTTCATAATTAAATGTTGTTAGCAATTAAAATTTCTAAAATCCTATTATTTATGAATAAATATATGACTGAAATAATTATGAAACTATGGTTCAGGGGTGTTGAAAGAGCAGAATTTTTAAATTTAATAAGTAGAGTAAATAGGCAGCTACCCATATTCATTTATAGTAGTATGAACCATGAGAAAAGTTTGTTATGTCCTAATCATTTTTATAAATTAATTCAGGTTTTTTGCTTGTATTTAAAATTTAATGTCACAATTACTAAAGTATTTTTAAATGTTTCTTAAAAAATGATGGAAATTTAAATATTGGTTAGTTCAATCTGGTTTTTTTATTATTTTTATTAAAAATAGGACAGAAGACATGTCTGAAAGTTAGAAATGTGAGATAACTATGACTTTTCTTTAAACTACCAGTTACTGACATGTAGTTAATAATACAGATTATTTAAAACTACAGATTATTTACATGTTTTAGTAAAATGAATATAATATATTCTGTATTTCAGAATCCATACTTAATCTAAAATGTCTTGATTATAAAACTAATTGCATTACTTTATCTTTTTAGGTTCCTTAGGACCTTTTCTCCCCCATGGTAAGTTCTGGAGCTCCAACTTGTGACTTGAAATAGGGCATTGAAATGGTTCGGTTTTGTCTTAATGGTATTTCAACTATATTTATAACACTTGTTATATCTGGGGTAGTGGAAAAAATTCTTTTATGCTTACAACTTAAAAATATCTTTTTCTAACATTAGGCCTACTTATAAGAACTGCTTTTTAAAAATACAAACAAACAAACAAAAAGCCCGCAATAATCTTCATGTGAATTTTAGTGGAAGGGTGCTTGATATTTCATGAAGTCTCCAAATCGTTAACAGAATCTAAAAATTATTTTTCACATATCCCAGTTTCAAAAATCTAGCCACATTGGAGCTCCAAAACATATTATTGGGGGAATGAAGAAGTCTTAAAAAAAAGCAAACAAATATAGTGTTTATAGTCATGATTGTGAAAACTACATTTATTATGGAAATACTTTGATTACTAGCACTAAGAGTTATTCTTAAAATAATTGTATTTCTGTGGTCTGAATTAAAATCCCCTTAAATCTTATAGTTTAAAAGAGGTTTGTTTGCTTTTTCTGAAAATTCTGCTGTCAGTTGGCTTATTGCTTATGTAAAATAATGCATGCAATCTATCTTTGTAAATTATGCAGGATATTGTTTTAGAATAACAAACCAGATACAGATTATAACCTGCAAATTTTTGTTGTAGAGTATCATATAGATCAGGGGTCCTCAAACTTTTTAAACAGGGGGCCAGTTCACTGTCCCTCAGACCGTTGGAGGGCTGGACTATAGTTTAAAAAAAAACCGTGAACAAATTCCTATGCACACTGCACATATCTTATTTTGAAGTAAAAAAACAAAACGGGAACAAATACAATATTTGTATTTGCATGTGACCCGCGGGCCGTAGTTTGAGGACCCCTGATATAGATTATATTAGATGTATAGCCTCTGTTTAGTACTATAAAATTAGGTGGTCTTGGGAGGGAAGATACAACTTTCTATTAGAAGTATATTTTATAATATTATTAGAAGTATATCATTGTTTTTGGGAGAAATGATATTACTACTTTAAATAATCTGTACTAATGGGGTTCTTTATAATGGAGTTTCATTGAACATTTTAAGTGTCAAGGCTGCCTTAGAAATTTAGTTCTTTTTACATACAAAACATTTGCATTCAAGATCTTAAAACTGTTGCTTCTCTTAAGCCTAATCAATGGATGTTATACTAGTAGACTTCTGTGGGCTAGTGAGCTCATGTAAGATGTTATAAAGCAGCGATTTTCAACCTTTTTCATCTCGTGGCACACATAATTACTAAAAATCTGTGGCACACAAAACATAGATTATATTTTTTGCCAATTTGACCAAAAAAATAGGTATAATTTTGATTCATTCATATTGGACGGCTATTGTGTTGGCTATTGTCATTTTTCTATTTGACAATCTAAGGAAAAATAGGTCAGTGCCCCTGACTAAATAGTCAGGTATTGCATGTTTCAAAAATTCTTGCGACACACTAGTGTGCCTCTTGTTGCACTCTGGTTTAAAATCTCTGTTATAAAGGAATGTTTTCTTTTTCATGGGATGTACACTAAGGAATACAAGGCAAATGTAGTTTATCTTAAGTATTTGCATCTTGTGTGTATATGATTTGAGTTGCATATACAATCTGTTTTACTAAATGAAGTTTTGGATTTCTTCAGAGATTGGGTTTAAAATGGTTATTTACTAATTACATTATTTCACCACCACATACTTTTTAATGTCATTCTTACAAAAATTGAGAGTAGCTTTAATATTTTTAATTTAATCTTATAATTTTTAAAGTTTATTAGTGTTTTATGATAGATACAAGTTTTGATGCTTTGAATCTCACACATATTTATTGATAATAGGCACTTTAGAGGAGAGGCTTCAGATTTATGAAGAAATTAGTAAGCAGCACCCCAGAGCAATTTCACCTAGAAGATTGCCTTTGAATCTTGTCCCAGGTAATATTAGGATATCTTTGTAACACTAATAATTATTTGTTAAAATTACTCAGCACTATTTACATTTTACATCTGTACCATTCTTGGGGGTGGGAGTGGTCAGTTATGAATGTATTATGCATTTGTTAATAAGAGTGTACAGTGTATAGCTATATGTAGGTTTTATGTATCAGAAATTATATAAAATTATTTTTCTTATGTGACTTTAAAAATTAAATGCCATTTTAGAAGGTAAATGAAATTCTCTGGAGTTGATGACAAATTTTATATGAGGTGTTATGATTTAAGTGGTAGAAATTTTGAAGTTTTGGATAATTTCAGAAGATAAATTCAAAGAAAGAATTGTGAGCTTTGTACCCACCGTGTTCAAGATAAGAATATCACCATTCCTATTGAAAGTCTTCTTTCCTCAGATTTGACCTCTTTCCTGAAAGTTGGTTTTATCATGCCATTGTTTTTATAGAGCTCTATATATTTTATATGCCCAGAAACAAAATCCTCCAAAAGCCCTGCTTTTGTACTTATTATAAATTGAAGTACGATGGTTTGTATTCTGTGATTTGCTTTTATTGAACAGCTAGTGACGCAGCGCATGAAATTGCGAGACACCGGGGACCCTAGACCCCGTCATGCTGTGGGACTCCCTCAAGTCCCGCCGCGCCACGGGACTCAGAGTCAAGTCCCCGCCCACCCGCGCGCACCTCTCCACGCACGCAGCCCTGCCTACCCACGCGTGCCTCGCCGCACTGCGTATGCAGCCTCCTGGTGACCGGTCTTTGGTTGTTACGTTGTTAGGGCCACTGGGATTTTATAATATAGATAGTATATTAGTGACCTTGATTCAGGTTGTTGCATGTAGCTAAACTCATTCACATTTGGGCTGTATAGGAGGTAAAAAGTACATTAGCTCTTTACATAGTTGATATCTTTTTGATGACTTTATAGAAAAATTTGCCTTTTTAAAATGTCATCTTTATTTTTAGTGGAAGTGTTATAGGTTATGAGTTATTTATTGGAACTTCTGGCATGTCTTTTGATACAAGCCAGATCCTAGGAAGCTAATATAACTTAAACATATTCTAGGCATGGGGTAAGGAGGGAATATATTTTCTAATGAATTCTACTTTATAGTGGAAATATTTGTTTAAATAATTGGGCTATAATTTTATTTTTATTAAAAAATTAAAAAATTCATTAATAAATAAATAAAAAATTCATGAAATTAAAAGCATTTTAGTTGACTGACTTAACAAAATATATGAAATGCTTCTTAGAAATGTATTGGTTTAGACAGTAGACATCAATATATTAAAATATTTCCACTAGTACATTTCAGTTCCACAAATGATAAATAATATTCTTCTAATACTCTTTTTAATTTTGTATTTGTAACATACTGAGAGCAAATTTTCCTAATGTTTTCCAAGGAACGTTAAGTCCAAGTGGATATTAGTAGGCTTTGTTGGGGTGGGGGCGGTGCTGGTGTATTGGGATGTTCTTCAGTCAAGTGAGTTTGGGAAACTGGGTTAAACACAGCAGTCAGGTTTCTATAGGACTTAGAACTTACAATGTATGCATTGTGAATTTCCAAGATGCTGTATACTGTGCAGGGAGGAGCATTTTCCTAATAAAATGCACATTTCTGTATCTCCTTCAAAAACAAAACAAAACAGCTTTTCTTTTTAAAAAAAATATGATTTTCAGTATGGAAGGGAGAAAGAGAAACATCAATGATGAGAGAGAATCATTGACCAGCTGCCTCCTTGACGTCCCACACTGGGGATCGAACCCACAATCCAGGCATGTGCTCTGACCGGGAATGAAACCATGACCTCCTGGTTCATAAGTGGATGCTCAACCACTAAGCCATGCCGGCCAGCCCCAAACACCTTTTTGAAATAGAATTCATATACCATAAAATTCACTTTTTAAAGTGTGCAACTTAGTGTTTTATTATATTCATGGAGTTGTGCAACCATTGTCACTATCTGGTTTCAGAAAATTTTCTTCACACCAGAAAGAAATCTGTACCCATTAACAGTCACTCCCACCCACACCTTTAAACCCCCCTCTGCCTCCCTTCCGCGCCAGTCCTACCCCAACACCAGGTAACCACTGATCTACTTTCTTTACTTACGTATTTGCCTGTTATGGATGTTTCATTTAAATGAAACTATCCCATAGATGGCTGTTTTTATCTGGTTTCTTTTTTTAAATTTTATTTTATATTTTTATTGATTTTTCAGAGAGGGGAAAGGAGAGGGAGAGAGAGAGAAACATTGATGTGAGAGCGAAATCAATCGGCTGTCTCCTGCATGTCCCTACCAGAGATGGATTTAGCCCGTACCCAGGCATGTTCCCTGACTGGGAGCACAGGATGATGCCCAACCAAATGAGTCACACCAGCCAGGGCTTCTGTCTTTCTTTTTAAAAAATCAATTTCAGGGTTCGCCTTATGTTTCACAATGCAAGTGGTTACATTGCGTTAGTTAGGAACTTTCAGATGCATTCACCTCTTATGTAAAGAAAGAAAACAGAATTTTAAGATTACAAACAAGATTTCTTAATTCTGTTATTCCTCTGTGGAACATGGGCTTAAAATTTACACTGCCTAGATTTATTTTCATTTTCAATAACATTTGCTAAAAGCTCTCAGTATATGATAGGAAATGTTTTTTATTGAAAGATAGTCTGGAACCAACTGTTAATTGTGAAGTGCTGTTTAGGTTAAAGTAGAATCATCATGTATTCTCTGAGACAGTCTCTTTGAAATGCTAAAAGGATAGTTTTACAAGATAGATCTCAATTGAGGGGCCTGATTGGCAAGGGCTTCAAAGGTAATTGTCACTGTGAGGTTATAGCATACATGTGTTTATGAAGCTCTGGAGAGCATATATAAAATTGTTCACATACTTTAATTGTACCTGTGCAAAAGCTGAATACTTCATGAAGTTTTTTTGCCTTTCTAGAAAAATTTTTATGTGAAACATTTTTAAGAAAAGCATCTCACATTATCAAAAACAAGTAAGAGCTTTTCTAAAAAACATTATGGGACTTAAGAATGTAAGGTGAGCCCTGACTGGTTTGGCTCAGTAGATAGAGCGTCGGCCTGCGGATGAAAGGTCTCAGGTTCGATTCCGGTCAAGGGCATGTACCTTGGTTGCGGGCACATCCCCAGTAGGAGGTGTGCAGGAGGCAGCTCATCGATGTTTCTCTCTCATCGATGTTTCTAACTCTCTATCCCTCTCCCTTCCTCTGTTAAAAATCAATAAAATATATATTAAAAAATGATTTTCTCTCATCATTGATGTTTCTATCTCTCTCTCCCTCTCCCTTCCTCTCTCAAATCAATAATGATAGTCATAAAAAAAAGAGAGAATGCAAGGTGAAACTTTTGAAAAAGGCTTTCCAGTTTTTAAATATGAAGGCTTAGTACATACAGAATAATGAACACGGCAGAATTCCTGGGGTTTTTTACTAGCCTAAAATTTTAAGTGTGGTGAAAATAATGGGATATAGCTACTTTTCAAAGTAATTAGTTTAGTTCATCATGTTTTATTAGTCTTTACTGGCCAAGGTTGGGGAGAGCTGAGGAGATAATCAAGAGTTTAAACATAGAATGCTAGTCAAATGTTGCTCTATTACTTATTTTTGTTTCATTTATTTATTTAGAGACATAATTGGTATATAACATTGTAGAAGTTTAAGGTGTAGAATTATTGATTTGATACATTTTTATGTTGCAATATTACTACTGTAGTGTCAGCTACCACCTCCATCTGGTCACATAATTATTTTCTATTTAGTAGTGAGAACATGCTCCATTATTTAGAACTAGAGGCCCAGTGCACGAAATTTGTGCACGCGTAGGGTCCCTAGGCCTGGCCAGCGATCAGGGCCGATCGGGGCCTTCCGGCTGCTGGCTGGGGCCTTCCTTCGTTCTGCGCCGCCCCCTAGTGGTCAGCGCACATCATAGCGAGCAATTGAACTCCCAGTTGAACTCCTGAGGGGTCAATTTGCATATTAGCCTTTTATATATATAGACTAAAGGCCCGGTGCACAAAAATTTATGCACTTGGGGGTGGGAGGGGAGGTCCCTCAGCCCAGCCTGTGACCTCTCACAGTCTGGGACCCCCTCGGGGGATGACCATCTGCTGGCTGAGGCCTGCTCCCCAGGGGATTGGGCCTAAGCTGGCAATCAGACAGCCCTCTGGCAGCCCGGCAGCCCTTGGGGGATGTCCACTTGCCAGCGGGAAGCAGACCTAAGCTGCAGTCAGACATCCCTAGCGCTGCTCAGGAGGCAGGAGAGGCTCCCACCACCACTGCTGTACTGGCAGCCATCAGCCTGGCTTGTGGCTGAGCAGAGCTCCTCCATGTGGGAGCTCACTGACCACCAGAGGGCAGCTCCTTCATTGAGCGTCTGCCCCCTGGTGGTCAGTGTGTGTCATAGTGACCAGTCATTCCCAGTCTTTCTGCTGTTAGGGTCAGTTTGCATATTACCCTTTTACTATATAGGATAGAGGCCTGGTGCACGGGTGGGGGCCGGCTGGTTTGCCTTGAATGGTGTCCTGAATCAGGCTGGGGGTCCCGCTTGGGTTCCTGGCCAGCCTGGATGAGGGGCTGATGGCTGTTTTCAGGTTGCCTGCACCCTCTTTAGGGTGGGGGTCCCCACTGGAGTGCCTGGCCAGCCTGGATGAGGGGCTGAGGGCTGTTTTCAGGCTGACCACACCCCCTTTAGGGTGGGCGTCCCCACTGGGGTGCCTGGCCAGTCTGGATGAGGGGCTGAGGGCCTTTTTCAGGAGGGCCAAGCCTGCAACTGAAGCTCCCAGTCTCTCCTGAAAGCAGGTTTCTGGGTTTGTTTAGCTTTTATAATTGCAACATTGTTGCTTAGAGTGCAGCCTGGCCGGCTGGCTGAAAGCAGGTTTCTGGGTTTGTTTAGCTTTTATAATTGCAACATTGTTGCTTAGAGTGCAGCCCAGAGCTGGGCCGCAGCAGGCGGG